CGAATACTTAAAAAAAATTCAAAATACGTTAATTTTCCATTGGGATAACAGTCTCGTTTCTAAAAAATTATTGAACACTAGAATTTTTACAAAAGTTTTCACCAAATCATAAAACTAGTATAAAAATCATCTATTCCTGGCTAGTTTTTAGTTTAAATCATGAAAGATTCAAATTTTCCATCATGTGCACTCTGCTGCCAAAGTTAAAAACCACTACTTGGTTCGCTTAAATTCTGTTCTGGTGCAGATTTCTGTAATWGTCATTAATGGTTGGGTCCCCGTCTGCTAGATGCAGCGTTGGTCTCAAAATAGCATCGTCATGCGCATTGGTGTTGGTTCAAAACCCCAAACAGCGGGAAAGCCCCGGTTGGGAACCGTGACCGGCAAGGCATCGGCAACCTCGTGCATTTGTTTGCCGGCAATCWGACAGTGAGGTAGCTGCGCGTCCGTAAGGCGCGTATCTTCGTATTCAAAAAATGGAAAAGCCTCCCAGAATGRGATAGTGCGCGAATGTGAGTGAAAATGAAGTGTTAGTGAAAATGCCGTTCGTGCAGCGAGTTGTCGAGCCGAAATATTTGAGTCGGACGAGTCTTTGGGACGAAGAGGGTAAACCTCTGGTTTCCGATGATGAACTGGAGGCCGTCACCAACAACACCCTGAGCAATGCCTTGCGGCAACTCGCCTCCTTGGTGCTGATCGCCGATGACATCTTCGCCGAATTGGGCACTCAGCTCAAGGAGATCAACAAGAGGTCCGAGGGTTTGAAGGCTAGGATTGAGGCTGTGGAGGGAAAGGTGTCGGCGTTTGATCCCAAGAAGGTTACAGTTCGTAAGTAGTGGTTTTGTATTGGCGTTCCTCAGGTAGAATTATTTCGTTGATGGCGCGCTATAGCCTTGAAATACCTACAAGATTTACTGGATATATACTTTATCGCGATCGATTGTGTACTAAGGTCGGCGAGAGAAATAAAAAATTGAAGAACGTGCCTCCATCGACGGGTGTTTTGTACTTTTTCTGATTCTTGTCTAGCGTTCTCAAAGAAACAAGGTCGCTGCCTTAACATAGCTTTTTTACCAATTTTCAATCTCCAAGACCAACCATTCATTATTATTCCGCCTGGTGGAGCTCTAATTGAAGCCTGATTACCTCGAAATGCAGAATTCTTATTCTTTTGACTTGGCCGTCAAAACTTTGCATACTTAATTTATAATCTAACCAGCGACAAGTCGCAACGGAAATTGCATAAGTAATTAGCCTTCAATCCTCCAAAGAAGCTGTAAAAATCACCGTATTTTTTGACCACATTGTGACTTTTATTGATGAAATTAATACTTTTGTGTGCTTTTTGGTCAGTGTTTTTTCTCGAGGAAGTTGTAAAACGAAAAAGAAAGTTATTTGATACCTTTAAAACAGAATTATTTAAAACAGGTTGACCATGAGAGAAAATTATGAATATTGGGCATGCCATAATAGAAATAAATTGTTGTTTGCATAACAACGTCTATATTTTTTCCAAAAACATGCATTCATTTTATGTCCAGCTGTTCACGTTCATATTTAATTTGATGTCTGTTTTGCATACAAGTTTTATGGGCAAATTATTAAAAAATTTATGTTTTCTACACAATCAATTTTCCTAGGAGTTGAAACCTACCTAATGTAATTGCTTCGTTTTAATGTCTAATCTGGTTATAGCTTTGCTTTTATTACATAATAGTATTAGAAGAGGTWACTAATTGTGAGTGAAGCCATGGATTTAAAGAATGTCTAGTCATTCCCTWTTTATTTGTTATTGAGAGAGACTGTTTTTAATTTAAAAATCGACGAAACATTTTATATTTTGATGTACTTCATTCAGAAATGTAATTTAGAGCAATTGACTTTTTATTTGTTACTGAGAGAGATTGTTTTAAATAAAAAAAATAAATAAAAATCGACGAAACATTTTATATTTTGTTGGTGTACTTCTTTCAGAAATGTAATTTAAAGCAATTGACTTTTTATTTGTTACTGAGAGAGACTGTTTTAAATTAAAAAAAAAAAATAAGGATCGACGAAATATTTAATATTTTGTTGGTGTACTTCATTCAGAAATGTAATTTAGAGCAATTGACTTTTTATTTGTTACTGAGAGAGACTGTCTTAAATTAAAAAAAAATTAAAAATCGACGGAACATTTTATATTTTGTTGGTGTACTTCATTCAGAAATTTAATTTAGAGTAATTGACTTTTTATTTGTTACTGAGAGAGACTGTTTTAAATTTAAAAAAAAAAATGACGAAATATTTAATATTTTGTTGGTGTACTTCATTCAGAAATGTAATTTGGAGCAATTGACTTTTTATTTGTTACTGAGAGAGACTGTTTTAAATTAAAAAAATAAATAAAAATCGACGAAATATTTTATATTTTGTTGGTGTACTTCTTTCAGAAAGTAATTCAGAGCAATTGGCCTTTTTATCAAATTTTTTTCGAGACGATGCCAGAAAAATATTGAGGCTTTTAAGATAAATTGGTAAAAACGTCAACAATGGAACGCTTCGTTAAAACCTACGGTCATCTATATGATCTAAAGTAGAGGTTATTGGTCATTGTTCGTAAATTTATTATCGTGACTTGTGTGAAGAGCCTTCGATGTGCCTAATCAATTACGATAACATCTTGAAGCGCTATTAAAATATTAGTTTACGAGAAGATGCATCACGAATCACGATTACCTTATTAATTTTTTCTTATTGCAAAAATATGATAAAATATATTTTGTTTATTCAGAGAAAAAACAAACTGGCTAGACAGCAGCTAAAGGAAGTCTCCAGAAAATTAGTGTACATTCATTGAGAGTAAGAAAATCAGTTTAAACATGYGCATCCGGCTCCGTAATGAGCATAATTATGAAAACTCAGGTCATGCACGCCGTGAATGAGATCATGTGTTTCTGTCTAATTAATTTTGATCTTGAACGCAGTCATTCTGATGTCCTTATTAATTTATCAATTTGTCATCATGAAAGCGAACGTTATTAAATGTAAAGTTCACTTTCATTTTACTCTTTTTCCCATCASGAGGAAATGCATCATTCATCYCATTTAATCTCTAATCAATTACTTTCAAACGGTTCTTTGTCGAATGTGCCACCTGAAACAATCGTTAGACGACCGTTGCAAGGTAGCTCTTTGCATGTTATGAAACCGGAAAGCAGAAGGGACGTGGTGTCTGCTTTAACCGTCATCAGCCAGTTGGAATTCTTAGGGTGAGAGGAAACGTGAGGTCACGTGAGACGACAGCTGATCAGGATACGCACCTAGGGGTGTAAAAATATCACGAGTTTATTTTGAACGGTGGAGAGAAGCTCCAGACAGTAGGAAATTGTGTTAAAATCCACCTGGAAGTAATGAAATAAACAAATAAGGAAAGCCTAATGGCGCTGCACATTGATAACTCTCAGGGGTGATAATTTCTAGGTAAACATGAGAAATTCCTCTGCTGATTAAGCAAAGTCGTAAAAAGTTTCTTCTTTGAGTGAATACAAACTTTACATTTGGCGTTATTGCCATTGTGCATGTTGCGTTTATGGGCATTAGGATGAATAATGAGCAGCTCATTCCCGGATTATCAATGTTTATGTATTTGTTTACGCCTCATTTYTCGCGGATTGGATATCGATTCTGCCCCTATTTCTTCCCGAGAAAGTTGACCAATATTTTATCTCATTTGCACAATAACTTACAAGGAACTTACACACTGACTACTCCACTTACTACTTCTATCGTTTTTATGTACCAAGTTTTTCTAGACACGAAGTTTTGTTAAAAGTTTTCGAATGCTACAAGATCAAGATTGTCTGCAGCTTGAAAGAATGGCTTCCATCTGAATTAATTGGAACAGTATTTTCGGGAACAGTAAAACCTAAAAACCACTTTTGACATTGGAAGATCTTTGTGCCATTCTCTCGTCTTTTGATGCACTTATTATATCGATCAGATTTTGGAGTTGCTGAAGGAATCTTTCAAACGATTTGTCATCACTCCTCATTAAAACRCACAAATGAGGCAATACAAACCGTGTCATTGCATTATAAGAGGTGCACCATCTCGGTGAATGGTCGTTTCAATAATAGACAACATTCTATTAAATTATGCTTCATTGGTTGGCAATTTTAAAACTCGTGCCGTCTAATTAAATAATGTTAATTACAAGCCATTCATCACAAACGTGTTTAGAGAATTAAATTTGTAGCTGTTGGGTAATCGCGTTTTAGCYTAATTACTTGACATAACGTATGGAGTGCACGTTCGGCGCATCTCTTGAAATTTTTCACGGTTCTGACAAAAATTCCCCAACCGAGTCAAATTCCGTTAAAATTGTCATTCTCTACACTCCAAAATCGTGTTATGCGACTTTTATTATTMGTGGAAATAGAACGGAAGTGCAAGTTCACCTTGTGAAATTACTGCTCCGAAACGTCATTGAAAGAAAGTTACATTTACTACAACACAGCTGGAGCYTTTGTACCTGTGGAAGAGACCTGCAACAATGAAAGAATGAAATTCCGGAGCCATTCAAAAATCGAWTTTTTTCTTGAATAATTTATGTACATAGATCGTTAGACTCGAACAGGTTYTTAAGCAATTTTCTTCCATGTGTTAGAGACGTGAAGGTCCAGGCGACGTAAAACCGTAAGAAATACCGCTTGCTTAAACCGACCATATTTGGACAAGACTCGAAAACCAAATATGAAACGTGCAATGTTTGGCCATATGGTCAAATTAACTCATTAGACAAGTGTTCAAGTTTCACAATAACTGCATATTTGAGGAAACAAGCTTAACTTGTGAGGTTGGCAATGAAAAATCAACTTGCGTGRAAGCTTTGTATCGATTGGGGTACTTAGGGGTCTCAGGTGCAGTTATCCAACTAAATGGTGGTCATTTAGTTGGAAATTCACGGAAATGGGATTTGTTGGTCTTTGTTTGGGCCTCCACACTTGCAGGTGTCGGGACAGACAGTAACAGTTTGTTCTTTTTGGAATGGGGTGAAATCGGGAAATTTATTTCCTTCATTTTGACTGGCATTGAAGCTAAAAAATTTTATGATTAAGTGTGATGGTCAGTGTGAACTATATCTCAAAGTCAAAATTAATTATAATCGCCTTTTTAACCCTCTCTTTGAAGTAGACTGGTCTTCCATTAAGGATTAAAACGTTACAAGACTTTTAATCAGAGCGAGTTTGGCAGAAGCTCCGTAAAAACTTATCTTAATTTTTATAGCCATTGGCGTTTGAAAAGCTCCGACAAACACAGCGAAATTTTTATCCTTTCTTTCATAAAAATTATCTTTATGTCGAGTGGGTCTAATTGCTCAAAACCTCTGGTCTATTTGCATGAAAATACCTTTCAAGCAGTAAATTTGGGGCGGTAATTCCTTACATACATTCGGCCGCCTCCCTTAGACAGTTTTCGCTTAATTAAGTGTTTATTGCCCTCTCGTTTTGGGAGTTGGATCGAACCACGAATGAATAGTAATTCCAACACGTTTCGGAAACGGAAAATTGCATTGATGGGGCTTGTTAGATAATTAAATAAAACTTTCACTGTGTCATTTTACCTTGGTTTCATCACAGGTCAATGTAACCGAATCGGTTGACGTGAGAGAGAAATTACCACAAACATGGCCGATCTGTTCTAGGAATGGAAATAAGCAACAGCATTAAATCGGGAAATGGCTTTTAAACCGATAACTATTATCTCTTGTTAGGTAAAATTTACATAACATGCCACTGCGCATATAGGCTCAGCTTTGAAATGGAAAAAGATGTGTTTTAAACAGT